TCACCGTGGGAGATCTGGTGCTCCTCGACACCCCCCATCTCGACATCCGTCATCTCCCATCCAAACTGCGACCTCGTTTCTGCGGACCCTTTCTCGTCGAAGCACAGGTCACTCCTGTTACCTTCCGCTTACACCTGCCAGCCACTTGGAAGATTCACAATGCCTTCCATGTCTGCCTCTTGAGGCCCTACAGAGATCCTAACACGATCTTTACCTGCTGCCAACCACCGCCCGTCCTCGTCCACGATAAGCCCAAGTACGAGGTCGAGTCCGTGCTTGCCCATCGCCGTCGTCAGAATGGCGTCGTGGAGCTTCTCATTCGTTGGAAGGGTTATGATCCTTTTCAGGATAGCTGGGTTCTTAAATATGCGATGGATCCCGCTCGTCGTCCTCTTCTCGACTACCTTGTCAAGCAGGGTGTTACTTGTACCACCCAGCTTTGAGGGGGGGAAGTGTGAGAGTACCTTACCGCTACGCTCCATCTTTCTCATTCTCACCTCATTCTTCTTTTGGTTTCCTATTTCTCATTTTCCTTTATCCTTTGGTTTATCCTGTTATTATATCACCGACCACGCTCGGGATGTACTGGCGCGCTATATCTAGCGTAATCCTGCCGTAATCCCTTAAAGCCAATAGCCTTGCGTGGCTATACGCAGAGTGATTCTATTTCTAGAAGGGTGTATTCTCTTTGGATAGGATAAACCTGGTTACCTGATGTACTCTGGAAGTACAGTGGCGGAATAAATTGCCCGGATGTTTAACACTTTGAAACGTATCGCTATGTCACACATGTTTCGAAAATAGTAACACCCGTTTTTTGCCATTCCGTTACAAGGTTTTCGCGTTCTGCTTCAACCGTTTCTTGCTTGGCGCGATTGTGACACAACCGGAAAGTGGGTTTGAAATTTACTCTTTGACTATCGATGCGGACATTTCCTACCGAGCGGAAGAGTAGATCTATTTTCCCCCGTCACTCGGTGTGTACATCGTCACGCGCAATAGTTGCTGGCTTAGGAGTTAGTCCGGAAGCGAGCCTACGACCGCATCGCCATGAAGCCGTTAAATGAGCGGAAGTGCGCGCGAATCATAAGCATGTTGCGTGCGGAACATTCGACTAGGAAAATAGGCAAAGTTCTTGGCATAGGCAAGGGCACCGTGCACGCTTACGCTTTGAAAGTGGCTGCCGAGACTAGTCTCGAGGAGGTGCGACCTACGATGCCTTCGGCCGGCCGGCCCCGCTTAATCACTACCCATCTCCAGCGCGGAATAATACGCGCAATTACAAGCGGCGAGGCGAAAAGCTCTGTAGACGCGGCAAATATGTTGTTGGAGAAGCACGATCTCGCCGTAGACTCGAAGACGGTCAGGAACTCATTACGATCCGCGGGGCTGATCGCCGTGCATGAGCCCAAGAAACCCAGGCTCTCGCCGAAAAACATCCGAGATCGTCTCGACTTCGCGCGGTCGCATGCCGACTAGACGCTGGAGGACTGGAAGCGGGTGATTTGGTCTGACGAGAAGAAGATAAACCGCTACTGCTCCGACGGACGTGCGTACGCCTGGATTCACGAGCGTGTATCTTAACGCTCTTAAGGTATGGATTCACGGTCCTGTAATGGTCCTCAATCAGTGCTCTAACTAATATTCTCAGCGTGTATGCACACCATACCTTAAGGCTTAATGTATACACCGCTGCACTCATCAAAATGCCAAAAAAGGCTGAACATGTGGACAATTTATTCCGCCACTGTATATAAGCGCCCTTGTATCCATGGATAGCGCAACCATTCCTCGACACATTCGATCGTGTGACACATGCCCTGCGTCGAGGGCCGGCTGCACCGTGCTCCTCACTCCTCCTCGCTTCCCCCTACCAGTGCGCCACTCCAGACCCTGCAATTAGACATCTGAGGCCTAGCCTTCGTCCCTGGGCCGTGGCGGGAGCGCTACTTTCTAGTGCTTGTTGATGACTACATGCACTACACCATGGTGTTTCCCTTGGAGCAGAAGGTCGATGGGCCTGACGCTCTTATCCCGTTGGTCGTAGCTGCAAGCTCCTTGTGCTGTGTCTTCACCACGACCGTGGCGGCGAGTTTGCATCCGGTCGTCTTGGCCAAATCTGTCGTGCGGAGGGCATCACCCAGTCGTACACCTTGCCGGACTCCCCGCAGCAGAATGGGGTCGCCGAGCGACGCATCGGCTTGGTCATGGAGGTGGCTCATACCTCCATGATCCATGCCGATGCACCCCATTTTCTGTGGCTGTTCATTGTTCACTACGCCGCTCACCAGCTTAACCTGTGGCCACACTCCCAGCGGCCGCAGGTTTCGTTGACCCTCCTCTGGACCAGGTCCCCTGGTGAAGCGTCCGCGTTCCACGTCTGGGGCTGCCTTGCTCACGTTCGTGCTTCTGGCATGGACAAGCTCATTGCCCGCACTGTCCCTTGTGTCTTCCTTGGCTTCCCGCTAGACTCGTCTGACTGGCACTTTTACCACCCCCCGTCTCACCGTTTCTTTCACTCCTACGACGTCACTTTTGACGAGTCTGTCTCCTTCTACCACCGCCTTCCCCACCGAGGTCTCCTGCTTACCCCGCCCCTGTTCCTGGTCTCCACTCCCCCGGTAACTCTTGCCCCGCTCCCTTCCCGTCCTGCCTCGTCTGGTGTGACTCACGTCACTCCCCTTCCGTCGGTTGTTCCGGTAGAGGAGTCGGCTGACTCTGGGAGCCCTGCGGCTTCAGTTTTGCCGCCTATCTCTGCCCCGATGTCTCCTCCTTTGCCACCGTCGCAGCCATAGCAGCAGCCGCAATCGCCGCCGCAGTAGCTGCAGTCGCTGCAGGGGTCTGCGATCTCTGGGGGCGCGGGAGTTGAGGAGGGTCCTAGACAGTGACGTTCTGGAGGACTGGCAGTAGGAGCTTGCTTTCCTGTCCTAGGCTTCCCCTCCTCTCTGCTCCATGCTGCTAGTCGCTGAGGGTGACCTAGACGCCCTTGACATCCCGACCCCTTGCACTTATGCTGAGGCAACCTCAGGGCCGTGGGCCTCTAAGTGGATACCTGCCATGGACGCGGAGATGGCATCTTGGAGATCCACCGGCACCTACGTCAAAGTAGTTCCCCACTCGGGGTGAACGTAGTCGATGGTCGGTGGCTCTTCAAGGTGAAGCGCTCGACCTGGACCGCCGCGGGTGTTCAATCAGCGCGAGGGGGTTGATTTCTTTCAGACCTTCGCCCCGACCCCGAATATGACCACACTTCGGGCGCTGCTACACGTAGCAGTACAACGTGACTACGAGCTGCACTCCCTCGACTTCTCTACAGCGTTTTCAGGGCAGTCTGCACGAGCTGGTCTACCTGCGCCATCCGCCAGGCTTCACAGGCACCTTCGCCCTTGGACCGAGTGGCTCCTCCAGCGCCCGGTTTACGGCCTGCCGCAGGCGCCCTACGAGTGGCACGACACACTGCATGCTACGTTAGATGACCTGCACTATTTTCCGTCCTTTGGAGACCCTTCGCTCTTCGTTCGCTCAGTCTAGACTCTGTTTTGCATCCTTGATTACGTAGACGACCTGGTCTTTGCTAGTGCAGACAGAGACGTACTGGCCTCCGTGAAGGTTGAGCTGCTAAGGTGACACACTTGCACTGACCTACAAGAGCTGCGCCGCTAACTTGGCCTGCAGTTCTCCAGGGACAGAGCAGCGCACACCATCACTCTCACACAGTCACACTTGGTGCGCCAGGTCCTTTAGAGGTTTGGTCTTCAGTTCTCCTCCGCACAGCCCACACCTCTACCAATAGACCACAGGCTATCGGCTCCGATCCTTGAGGAGTCGGTAGACCCTAGTGGTCCGTACGCTGAGCTGGTGGGTTGCCTCGTGTACATGATGACTTGCACTTGTCCAGATCTTGCATACCCTCTCAGCATCCTGGCTCGGTTTGTGGCGACAGGCAGACACCAACCACAGCACTAGTCGGCCGCTAAGAGGGTTTTGCGTTACCTAGCAAGTACATCGAGCATAGGGCTATTGCTAGGAGGAGGCACGCCAATGGTCCTTACAGGGTACATAGACGCTTCGTGGGCAGACGACGCTGAGACGTTCAGGTCCTCCTAGGGCTACTGCTTTAGCCTTGGTGCAGGTGCCATCTCGTGGAGGTACACCTGCTCGTCATCTGTTGCACAGTCTAGCTGATCGGCTGAGATCTAGGCTGGTGCCATGGCGGCACAGGAGCTCCGCTGGCTGACCTTCTTGCTCTCAGACTTAGGTGCGGAGCGAAGCACATCCAGCTGTGGTTTTTCCTCCTGCGCGAGCAGCGCTGCCAGGCCCACGTAGTACTCTTGGCCTCCGGTGCCAACACAACTGATATCTTTACGAAGGCGCTTGCGCCCAAAGATAATCAGCGACACTGTGTATAGCTTGGTCTAGTTCCTGTAGCTCCTCACTTGCTAGGGCTTTGATTGTGTACTACTCATTTATACATTCTCTTGACTAGCCTTGTGGCTTCTTTTCCAGTGGCCGGACTAGTAGTGCCGCCCTAGTTTGCTCTTTCCTAGTTTGTACTCTTCTGACTGGTGTTCGGACCCTTGCCTCACAGGTTGGACTAGTAGTGCCACCCTGAGCTGCGTGTCTCTGGCCAGGCAGTGCCCCTTGTCTAGTCTAGGGGTGTTGTTGTGTGATGTCATCATATGCTATCACATTCTGTCTGCCTCCCATCCCATATTTTTCAACTTGCATGTGTGGTTTGAACGTGTGCAAGAATTTGTGTGTGATGTGTTCTGGAGTTTGGGAATGTGTTTTGTGTTATTTTGTTTGAGCAGGTTTTTTGTGATGATAGATCTTGAGAAGATCTTTCCGACGCAACGAGAATCCCTTCAATCGGAGCAAGAACGCGAAAGCTATGAAGATTCAAAGTTCATGAGCTTGCGTTACAATTGCGGCGGTTACAAAGTGAAGTTGTGGGGTGACTTTATATGGAGTTGGGACCTTTGGGGTTGGGTAAACTTGTCACTCTACTGTAACAGCTGCAAATAGGTTGGGAACAACCAAGCTAGGTTGGCAAGGGTGGCCAACTTGGATGGATTGGTTGGGAAGGGACAAAGGTCAAAGTTGAGGTTCCTATAGGGAGGGAATCTTTGTGCTTATGGGGTTTCCTTGGTTGGGGACTCTCTTGAGACCTTCCCTCTCATCCCTCTCTTCTATCCCAACCTTTCTCTTGCTCCTCTAATTCCTTGTGAGATTCTTGAACTTTGATTGAACTCTTGAGATTGAGTTAAGTTCTCCTCCTACAGCTTACCCCCTAATGCGTCGAAAGCCATAGCGTCGCGAATACTTTATCAATCAACGTGATTCGAATTGGGAACGGTAGCTGAGATTAAGAGCTACAACATATCCGAGTTTCGCGACATTCCAACGGCTAGTTTTTCGTCGACGTCGTTTCTTGTGAAGACGACTTTTCTGTCCAGAATTTCGGATTTATATTTTGAGTATTTCTAGCTCCTAAGCACACCTAGACTCCGTCCTTAATTCTAACAAGTGGTATCAGAGCAATATTAAGGACATTGAGAGGAGTCTACAGAAGTTTGAAGACCCTTCTAGACCCACCATGGCCTGTGGGTGTGCCTAAGTGGTGTTCTAAAGGTTGGATGTGTCTTCCGCTAAGGGGAAACTCTGCCGAAATTTCGTGGACGCCGACACTTGTGAAAATATCGAGGGAGCTGAGTGTGGACAGCAAAGGGGAGCTGAAATTCGTCATTTCTCAAGGAGAAGATGAATGAGAGAGGAGGAGATGCTAATGGAAGAGGAGCTGTACCTGAGAAGCCAAGTGAGCCGCCGCCATCAAAAGTTGAAGCTTTGGATGGCTCCAACTATGAGGAATGGAGCGGGCGGATGAGGAGTGCCTTCAAACGCTACAAGCTCCTGAAGATTGCTGTTGGGGAGGAGAAGATGCCGGAAGAAGGCGAAGCACGCGAACGGTGGATTGAGAAAAGCGCGGTGCTTTTCGACCTCATCCTTCAATCGGTCAACAAGGAGATGTTCGAGCACATCAAGGATCTTGTGGAAGCGGATGATTCGGGTCCAAGGGCGTGGAAACTACTACGCGATGTGATTCAGCCTAACACTCTCCCAATGGTGATCGTGCTCGAGAAGGAACTTGCTGCCATCTCCATGCGACCAGGGAATGATGTGAAGCCGGTCCTTGACAAGATCAAGGACACCTATGCAAGGATGGCAGCAGCGGGCAGCAGTGTATCTCAGCTGCAGCAGTGCACCAAGATCATCTCGGTGTTGGACAACTCTTGGGACAACCTCATCCCCACCCTCAACTCTCAGCAAGATCAATGGACACCTGAGTGGCTAAGGCAGCAGATTCTGCAGGAGGACTTCCGTAGACGCCATGTGGGAGGCGGTGCTGCCACGAAGACTGCTGAGGGGTATGGAGCTGCAGGGCGCGGCAAAGGAAGAGGGGGTTGGAGAGGCCGAGGCCGTGGGAGGAGCTTTGGCAGAGGTAGAGGCCGAGGTGACTATAATGAGGGGCATGGGAGCTCCAGTGGCAGGGGGAGTACCAGAATGGAGGGCACCTGCTGGTACTGCAAGAAGGTCGGGCATCCTTGGTTCAAGTGCTTCAGCAGGCCGGAGGGATGGGCACCTCCAGGCATGAAGCCGCCCAGTGGTGAACGCGCACAAGGTGGCGCTGTGCAAGGCTCAGGTGCACAAGGTGAAGGTGCACAAGGTAATGCCTATCCTGGTTTGTTTGTTATGGTTGAGGATGTGCATGGGCATGAGGGTGATGTGGGATCTGTGGGAAAGGTTGTGATGCACCCTATCACGCACTGGGTGATTGATTCGGGTTGCACCAGTCACATGACTCCACGGGCAGATTTGCTTGATGAGGTAAAACCCCCTGGGAAGATTAAGTATGTGGCAGCAGCGTTAGGTGCTTTGCTCCCCGTGATTGGTGTTGGAAATGCCAAGGTTAAGGGAGCTAATGGGGAGCTTGTGGGGCTTGGGAATGTTCTGCTGGTTGAAGGTTTGTCTGCTAACCTTCTCTCTGTGCGACGACTACAGAAGAGCAAGGCCGAAGTGACCTTTGGACCAACCAGCCGCCGTGCTAAGCGTGGGAAGAAGGTGCTGTGGAGTCTGGAAGAGGAGACCAGTTGCATCAAGGACCTGTGGCAGCTGCCCATCATCCCTTGGAATGGGAAGACTCCAACAGCAGCAACGGTAGCAGCGGCAAAGGCAACAGCAGGAGGAGAGGCAACTGCACCAACTGATGGGGTCCTGGAAGCAGTCAAGAAAGTGCAGCAGCAGCAGACACATGGTGAGGTGCTTGCTGGTGTGGATACGAGTGCGGCATGGGCTAAGGCTTCATCAAGGAGTGGTGAGGCTGATTGGGAGACATGGCATGAGAGGCTGTGTCATGTGAACTTCCCTATGCTGCAGAAATTGGTGAAGGATGGGAGCCTGAAGGGATTGGAGGTCAACGGAGGAGTAAAGGAGATTGGGAGCTGCCCTACATGCTTGGAGACCAAGTTCTTCAAGTTCCCCTTCAACAGCACTACAAGACCAGCCAAGACCCCACTTGCACTTGTGCACATGGATGTGGTGGGGCCCACAAGAGCCCCTTCCCTCTCAGGCAGCCGCTATTTCTTGACAATTGTAGATGACCACACTCGGGCAGTGTGGGTTTACCCTTTGAAGAGCAAGGGGGAGGTGGCAGCGGCTGTCCTTAAGGAGTGGATGCCTAGAGCTCAGAGGGAATGCGGACACAAGGTGAAGGTGATCCGTAGTGACAATGGTGGGGAGTTCATTGGAGCTGATTTTGAGGGGGAGTTGAAGAGGAAGGGGATCCAGCATCAACTGACAGTGCCCTACAACCCACAGCAGAATGGCGTGGCTGAGAGGTTCAACAGGACCCTGCAGGAGGGGGCACGCACTCTCCTTGGGCGTGCAGGGCTGCCTGATCCGTTTTGGGTGTCTGCACTGAGGCAGGTCGCCCTTGTGAAGAATAGGGTGCTGGCTACAGTTGGGGAGAAGGAGTGGATCCCATACACCAAGTGGTATGGGAGTGCTCCAGCTGTGAACATGCTGAGGGCATTTGGGTGCATGGTGGTGTTTCATGTGCCCAAGGAGAAAAGGGGGAAGTTGGAGGCTTCTGGAAGATGGGGTGTGCACTTGGGGATTGCAAAGGATCACAAGGGGTGGCTGCTATGGGACTTGACCACCCAGAAGTTGACAGTGTCAAGGGATGTGAAGTTTCTTGAGTCCCTGTACTACAAGGAATGGAAGCAGCAGCAACAGAAGCTTCCATCTACACCGCTCATTGTGGAGGCAGATGAGGTGCAGCAGCCTTCGAGACAGGTGGAGGTTGCAGTGTCAGAGGAGGAGATGTCTGGGGTGACTGAGGAAGGGGGAGCAGCTGAAGTGGAGCAGCAGCAGCAGCAGGAGCAGCAGCAGCAGCATGAGTCTCCACCTCGAGTTCCACACCCGCCTGAGCGACCTAGGAGGGATGTGCGCCCTCCGGTGAGGCTGACCTATGGGGGAAGAGGCAAGCCAAATGTGGTGCAGGCTGGGAGTGTGGTTGAGCAGATTGAGGAAGATGAGATCGCTCACTGCTACTGGGCACCAATCCCTGAGCCCAAGACTCGAGAGGAGGCCTTGAATGGACCAAATGGGGAGAAGTGGAAGGCGAGTGAGGATGAGGAGTTCGGGTCCCTGATTGAAAACGAGACATGGGACCTGTGTGACTTGCCTCCTGGGAAGAAGGCAATCACTTCCAAGATGATCTACAGGCACAAGTATGGACCTGAAGGGGAGCTGACCCGCTACAAGTCTAGGCTTGTGGCACGGGGGTTTCAGCAGACAAAGGGGAAGGACTATGATGAGGTGTTTGCTCCTGTGGGGAAAGGAACAACACTGAGGGTGCTGTTGGCGATAGCTGCACTCCTGGGATGGAAGATACGGCAGATGGACATTGTGACTGCCTTTCTGAATGGGATCATTCTGGAGGAGGTGTACATGAAGCAGCCAGAGGGGCTGGATGATGGGAGCGGCAGGGTCTGCAGGCTGAAGAAGGCCATCTATGGCCTTAAGCAGGCGCCTCGTGCATGGTATCACAAGTTGGAGGAGGCGCTATTGGCTGGGGGTTTCAAGAAGAGTGAGTGTGACCCCAGCCTGTTCCTGCTGCAGGAGAAGGATGAAATCCTCATGCTCTTGGTGTATGTGGATGATATCCTTCTCTTCTCTGCATCAACTGCTTTGCTGGACAGCGCAGAGCAGATGCTGGAGATGCAGTTCAAGTGCTCCAAGATGGGTGAGGTGAAGTACTACTTGGGGATGCATGTGGAGAGAGATGTGGAGAAGGGTGTGCTGAGGTTGCACCAGAGGAAGTACTGTGAGGGGCTGGCTGAGAAGTATGGGCTGCAAGATGGGGGAAAGCCAGCAACACCACTATCTTCAGGGTTTACTGTGGAGCCATGTGCTGATGAGGAGGTAGTGGGTGAGAGTGACAGGAAGCTGTTTCATTCGATGGTTGGGTCGCTGAATTATGCTGCAAATCATACACGGCCTGACATTGCATTTGCTACATCACGACTGGCTAGCGTGGTTTCACGTCCTAGTCATGAGCAGCTGGAAGCGGCCAAGAGGTTGGTCCGCTATGTGAGTGCTACGGCATCAGTGGGATTGGAGTACAGTGGAGTGAGGCAGCGGTTGCAGAGAGGTGCTGCAGATGTGAAGAGTGGAGAGATGCTCTTGAGTTGCTATACTGACGCTAGCTTCAACTCAGTGAAAGCGGATGGCACCAGCATTGGGGGTTATGTGTGCTTGCTAGGAGGTGGTGCTGTGAGCTGGCGCAGCAAGAAGCAGAATGAGGTGGGATTGTCCTCATGTGAGACTGAGTACATGGCCTTACACCATGGGGCCAAGGAAGTGGTGTGGCTGAGGCGCTTGTTGGAGGAGTTGGGAGTTGGTCAGGAGGAGCCGACAGTTGTGTTCTGTGACAATGAGTCTGCTGTGAAGCTCGCCAAGAATGCTTGTCTGCATGGGCTTACAAAACACATAAGGCCTAAGTGGCACTGGGTGAGGAGACTCCTTGATAAGGAGGTGCGGCTGGAGATCGTGAAAACCCATCAGCAGGCAGCAGATATTTTCACCAAGCGTCTGGCGGAGGCGGATCATTGGAAGGGCATGAAGCTTGCTGGGATGAGTGTGCATTGAGTATGCATGCTTGAGATGTTGGTATGGTGGATGATGGTTGGCAGCCAGAGGGGGAGATTGTTGTGTGATGTCATCATATGCTATCACATTCTGTCTGCCTCCCATCCCATATTTTTCAACTTGCATGTGTGGTTTGAACGTGTGCAAGAATTTGTGTGTGATGTGTTCTGGAGTTTGGGAATGTGTTTTGTGTTATTTTGTTTGAGCAGGTTTTTTGTGATGATAGATCTTGAGAAGATCTTTCCGACGCAACGAGAATCCCTTCAATCGGAGCAAGAACGCGAAAGCTATGAAGATTCAAAGTTCATGAGCTTGCGTTACAATTGCGGCGGTTACAAAGTGAAGTTGTGGGGTGACTCTATATGGAGTTGGGACCTTTGGGGTTGGGTAAACTTGTCACTCTACTGTAACAGCTGCAAATAGGTTGGGAACAACCAAGCTAGGTTGGCAAGGGTGGCCAACTTGGATGGATTGGTTGGGAAGGGACAAAGGTCAAAGTTGAGGTTCCTATAGGGAGGGAATCTTTGTGCTTATGGGGTTTCCTTGGTTGGGGACTCTCTTGAGACCTTCCCTCTCATCCCTCTCTTCTATCCCAACCTTTCTCTTGCTCCTCTAATTCCTTGTGAGATTCTTGAACTTTGATTGAACTCTTGAGATTGAGTTAAGTTCTCCTCCTACAGCTTACCCCCTAATGCGTCGAAAGCCATAGCGTCGCGAATACTTTATCAATCAACGTGATTCGAATTGGGAACGGTAGCTGAGATTAAGAGCTACAACATATCCGAGTTTCGCGACATTCCAACGGCTAGTTTTTCGTCGACGTCGTTTCTTGTGAAGACGACTTTTCTGTCCAGAATTTCGGATTTATATTTTGAGTATTTCTAGCTCCTAAGCACACCTAGACTCCGTCCTTAATTCTAACAGGTGTGTGAACATTTTGATGTATATTGTTTTATGCTAGATAGGTGCATGTCATAAAGAGTACAACACCTAGCACAAAACTACCCTGTATACCCATTCTAGTTCACTTCGTTATCTTGAGAGAGCCAGTGTGCTGGCGCCTCATGCAATGGCGCCTAGCTCGCTGGCGGTAGGAGCCAAACGAGCATGGCGCCAGCATGCAAGGTGCCAAGGCCCATGGCGGGAGCGTTGGCGCATGCTGGCAGCAGCAAGTCAAGCTTAGGTACTGGTTACGCTGTGGTTAGGAGGAAGAGTTAGGTACGAGGAAGAAACAGGTGAGTGCGAGGAGCAAGAACAAACATTCACCAGTCTCCAACAAGCCTCAAGATATCAGGGTAAAATACCCTTACGGCCCTTACTATAAGGCTGGGGTTGGTGTTGGACCCTTATTTTAAAAAGCGCTTTAGTTTGGACCCTTATGAAAAAAACTACGTTTGTACCGGACCTTGATTCTCAAAAGTGGTGTAGCGTTAGCACCCTGATGCGAAAAAGTGCCTTTACAAAATACCCTGATGTGATTATGTTAAAATTATATAAGTTATATATAATTGATAGGCTTGGTAGTTGTTACTGAACCTCACTGTAGAGGGTACAATCCCCTCCTTGTACCCCTCTCTCTTCCTAATCATCTCTCTTTTTCTCTCGTATCTTCTCCCCCTAGCTAAACCTTGCTCTCGTATTCCATGGCCGCCTAGTCTTATGTTTTTAACATGGTTTCAGAGCGGTTCGCTCCTAGCGGGCCTGCTCCTCACGCTTCCGCCGCGCCTTTCTACCATCCTTTTCGTGCCGCCGCCGTCCCTCACCGCGCTGCCATGGCGACCTCGACACTCAGCCGTGGCAGCCATGTCGAGGTTCCGTGGCAGCCTCGTCGCATGGCTGCCACGTCGAGCAGCCGTGCTGGGCTTGCCGCCCTGACGTGGCGGCTCCGCCGTTCCACCTTCCCGCCGTGTCCCCGTGCTGCGGCCAGCGCCCTGACGTTCGTGGCGCCGCCACACCTGCCGCCGCCACACCTGCCGCCCGCACACCAGCCTCCAGCATGAGGCTGGACCACGCCCCGCCCCTCTTCCCTTGTGTCCTGTTCCTCGCCGCAGCCGACGGCTGACTCCCGCCGGCCGTCCCACCATCGTGGAGTTTGGTCACGTCGCCGAGTGGGGCGAGCGCCGCCGCCGCCGCTGCTGTTATTGAAACCCCCGCCGCCGCTGCTGTTGCCGCTGGCTTTACTTGCCGCTGCACGTCGCCGCCGTTGCTGCTATCGTCATTGCCGCCGCCGCCGTCGTCGCCACCGCACCCTCGTCGCTGACGTTGCCACCCCGCCCGTGGAGAGGTGGACCGCGCTCTCAACCGCCACTGCTGCTGCAGGGAATGGGGGTGCTAGGTTAGGGGGTGTGGGTGTGTGTGGGTACTTCGACTACCAAGCCTAGGGGGTGTGTTAAAATTTTATAAGTTATATATAATTGATAGGCTTGGTAGTTGTTACTGAACCTTACTGTAGAGGGTACAATCCCCTCCTTGTACCCCTCTCTCTTCCTAATCGTCTCTTTTTCTCTCGTATCTTCTCCCCCTAGCTAAACCTTCCTCTCGTATCCCATGGCCGCCTATTCTTCTGTTTTTAACAGATTCTACATGCAGGCCCCCTGTTTGGGGGCAAGAATATTCCCCCGAGTCACGCTGCACCATTACTGCTCTGTGCTGGCGCGCGTCGATGAGACTGCTCCAGCGAGTCAAAGTGTGTGGCTTTCTAGGAAAAGACAAACCAATCAGCGTCAGGGGTCAGAGCGCGCATGGACAGCGCGGCAGCAAATGGTCCTGCAGTGACCTGTTCTGCAGGGCACCCACATGATTGGTGGAAAGAAGGGGGCACAACTATCGATCCCTTTCTCCTCTGTTCGGAGGGCACCAGTTCTTCTTCAACTATCTCTTCAAAGCTGTTCTTGAGAGCACCGAGATACAATCTGCTCTGTGTTTGTATCTCTCACCCGCTTCCTTACCATATTCCTCTCACCTCGACGACAGCCATGGACCCCGACGACGGCGATGAGGAGGAGGATGGTGGGCGGAAACGCCCGCTATCCCCTCCGCAATCAGCCCTTAGTTTCCTCCGTCGCGCACCAATCACAGTCGCTTAGTCACCTCTTCTGACCGAACCCATAGCGGATGTCCCTGAGCGTACACCCCCATCTCCCACTGCTCTACCGGTTTCCGCCTCCGGGGGTTCTCCTGCCCCATCCCCAACTGCTGTGTGCTTGACGTCGTCTTCCGCAAAGCAGAAAGCGAGCAGCCTGCCACAGAAGTGGCGGCAGCAACATCTCCCCTTCGCTGGGTCAACGGACAAAGCGCCTGTTGAGGAACCCGACGACATCGCCGGCGACGATGATGACGAGGATCACGAACCCACCGACCAAGAGAGTTCCAAAGATCCACAGGATGCTTTTGCAAAAGCGCACCGATGTTTTAAGTCTTCTTGGGAGAGTCTGTTCCCTTGGCTTGTCCTCGACTGTGTTGACAATGGTTTCCCTGTATTGCGCTGCAGCACTTGCCTCGATCACGGAGTTTCAGGTGCGGACACCAAGTACGGCAAGGACGGTTGTGGCAGGCGTGACATGCAGAAGAACAGCATCCAGACTCACCAGCGGTCCAACGCCCACCGCAACGCCTACCGTCTAATGAAGGCTAAGCAGTCGAGGATGTTGTGGCAAACACACCTAAACGAGTACGAGGGCCTCGACAAGAGCACGCTACATTTCATCACCGCCTTTAAGACGGCGGTGTACACGTGCCAATCGGAGGCGCCGATAACATCCTACGTTGGCTTCATCAAGTTCATGGCTTCAGTGCAGACGGCCAACCTCCCTCTGGATTAGAAGGGCGTCTACTTTTCGAAGTGAGAAACTACGAATTCGAATCTTAGTGCGTTTTTTTCCAAGTACCGAGCGACCATATTATTGGTCCATCTCTGACTACTGTCTTGTTTCATCATGTGTATGCTTGGCAGATACGGATTCAATGAGTTGGTCGAGGCCGCATTGAAGTACCTACGAGAAGAGCAGCTGAAGAACATCGCCAACAGCCTTTATCTCGGCATCGCTATTGACAAGAGCACGGACCGTGTCAGAGGGAAGCATCTGATAGTATATGTGACTTATATCAAAAATGGCTAAGTGTGTACCGAGTTCCTGACGCTCCTCACCGCGCAAAAATGTGATGCAGCAAGCCTCACTGAAGCTCTGGAGACTTACATGCGATCGGTCGGCATCGACATGGAGAAGATCGTCGGGATAAGTACGGACGACGCATCTGTCATGGTAGGCGAGCACAAGGGCCTCGTCGCACGGTTGCGTGTTAAGATTCGGCACCTAGTATCATGCCACTGCATCGCCCATCGGTGAGTTGACTCTGGTGTTAGGTGTTTGATTGGTTGTCTTTCGGTTGTTGGTTCCCAAATCGCATACGATGTCACGTTCTACTGTCTCACACCTGGTGTGCATCTATATGTTCCCTCCCCCCTCCCTGCTAGTGAGTCTCTGACAGCCAAAGACGCGGCGGCGAAGGTTAGAGACTTCTCCGTCATCGACCAGGTCATCAGAACCGTCTCTGAACTGCTGTCAAGGAGCGGGATCTGGCACAGGCGCTTCAAGAAGATGCAGGAAGAGCTGTGTGACACGAATCCGGAGCTCCAGGGAATATATGATGTCCGCTGGCTTTCACGGGGGAGCACGGTGAAGCGGTTCGCGCAGCTGTTGCCGGCTGTAGTCGTGCTTTTGCACGAGTATCTGCACGAGCTATACGGACTTGTCAAGAGTTTCAAGTTTCACTTCCTTGTGTACTTCCTGGCAGATTTGCTCGAGGTCCTCAACGACCTCAACGCGAACTTTCAGAAGAAGCAGGTGAGGTTTCTGACGGCAGTGACGTTGTGTTTGTTTAACCGCAGGCCCTAATTTTTGTCGTTCTTTCTCTGCTTTATGCACGACCTCAGGTGGACATTATACTGGTTGCTGGCGAGGTTAACCTGGTGTGCACAAAGATGGACGTCCGCTACATCGACTGCGAAAACGCTTTCGGCAGGGACTCACCGCTTCTGAAGAATTTCTTGAAGGAGCACGCCAACCCCCAATTTCAAGAGGTGACAGTCGAAGGTGTCGCCAAGGAAGACGCTCCGACTGTGCATACCTTCACGCTAAGCGAGGAGCCGTGGGAAGATCAGAAAGGCAAGGGGGACTACCCGACCTGCGTGAAGCTGTGCAGGGAGTATGCGGCGGAGGCAAAGGCACGACTCGAGCACAGGCTGATCGACCTGCAGGATCTTAATGGCGCGAAGTTGTTTCGGCCGCTCGTATACCCCGAGGATTGGGAATCATTGATGAAGAAGGCCAGGGAGTGGTTGGCTCTGCTAGATAAGCTTTTCCATTTTAAGCTTCACGGTAAGTGTATTACGCTTCAAAACTTATTGCCATGATAAACCTCCTTCCTTGTCACATTGTTGCTGCCTTGCACGCCCTAAACTCCTCCCGCATTGCGTCCTCTCTCCCCTCCTCCCCCCCTTCCACCCATATATCCCACCCATTTCCCCCATCTGAGTTCACAGGGGTCAACTTCAAGACCTGCATGTCAGAGCTGCATCTCTTCCTCCACACGATGAACACCAACCATGCGAATCTCGGCTTTCACAAGTCCATGAAGCTCATGCTGGACAGCACGGATTACGAGGGAGCATACCCCAACCTCCTGCGGTTGTGGCAGGCAGTCACCGTGCTGCCCCTCAGCACGGTTGAGTGCGAGAGGGGCTTCAGCCGCCAGAATCACATCAAGTCGTGGACGCGCAGCTGCTTGGGTGATAGGAAGCTCGAGGACCTTATGACAGTGGCCCTCGTGCAGTGCGACATGGAGTGGCTGAAGATGGTTGAGATGTTCCGAACAATCAAGGACCGCTGCCCTGCTACCCAGTTTGACATGGCCGACTAAAAGCATCGGGAGCAGAGGGTCTCCTCTCCAGCGGCAGCAACAGCAATTGCAGCAGTAGCAGCAGTAGTAGTGGCATTACCAGCACCAGCATCACCAGCAGTAGTAGTAGTAGTAGCGGTAGTAGCAGCAGTAGTATTTGGTATGGTGCAGGATTAGTGCGCTATGCTTTGCAATGTCAACATCTATAATGCTAAGAAAAATTATCCAGTTAGAATGAGTAGTGCGTTTGTACACACTGATGTGGAAAAGCGTTTTTTTTAGCACCCTTATAAACCAAATTCGAAAAAAAAAACACCCTTACAGAAAAAGTGGTCGAGGGTACATACCCTTACATGAAAAACTACTCCAAATCCTATCCAGAGGTCTGGTCTCCAACAAGAGCCAATGTGGCACAAGCACAGCCTGGCAGGGGTGTGCTCTCAGCCACAGGGCCAACTGAAGTGTCATCTCAATCCTAAAGCATCGAAGCTGTAAGATCCACGACTTGATAGGACTTCTACAAATTTGGCACGAACTCATTCATTTGAGTGGCCATAAAATAATGAGAACATTGTACGGTATTGGAAAATATACTTATATTGAACTTTTATATATTTCACAATAGTCGCGCAATCATAAGACGATTGCGTCACCCCTTGTTTCTGTAGGCGATGGTGCATAATGGGATGGTATTTTTCGCCTGTTTTCTTTCCGTTCTCAATTCATTCGCTGCCCTCCCAGCCAATCGTGAGCCACTCGCCCCAATCCGAGCTGCACTTGGGAAATTTGCTTTTCGCGGCTTGCAAGTTGGTTCCTAGGCTCTATAATTGTTTCACCCAAAAAATGTCTAAACAGTCAATTCAATGCTTTCAGTCAAACAGTTTAATGGCATGCTTCACTAGAGTGGTTACCACATAAAATAACTCAAAGCCAAACCCCCTTTTAACCCCAAATTCAGTTCAGCCTATCTAGGGCACACACATTGACTTGGATTTTATGGTCCCAACACAAAAATTACCATTACATTCGTTGAATTCTGAACTTGCTATAGCCGTATTTCCACCATAGAAGTGGTAGGCAGCTGAACACGTCATTGCTGGTGATACTTTCTTGAGCCTGCCCTTGTTGCACATGCCGAATTTGAACGACCAATATTCAGCTCTGAGACAAACCTGGGATTGCAAAATGCAAGGGAAACAAATAGCATAGACATATTATGGCATCAGGGGGAGACAAAACCATACAGGTGAAAAGGACTAGAATGCGAAATAGAGGGAGGGCAACAAAAGACACACAAAATGCATCTGGCAGTGATGGATGCATGTCAATATGAGTGTTTTACTCTTGAACCCAAATTGTAATATTGAGTTTGGGCTCCCAATACAAGAGGGATACTGAACGCGGAGATTGGTTATGAGAGTGGCACGAGTAGTTGAATGCAACATTTCATTCTCTTAAACATGCTCAGAGGCTACAACACATGGAGGGTGGGTAATGGCAATTGCTTTGAAGAATCCATGCAAACCGTAAAGTTAGCACTCCCCCTTCTCCGCCCAGCCCCCCTGCCCCTTCCATTGCCTCCATGACCAAGGCTCTTTTCCAAATTCTCTTACCTGCACGCCAATCTTGCTGCTGACAACTGAAACACTGGAGGGAATGGTGCTGGAGCAAGTGAGGCCAGGATTGTTGCAGAAGAACTCTACCCACGGGTTTCTGAACAGCTCAGGAAAGGGACTTTCTTTATAAACAGCGGTTCTTCTAAACAGCTGCTTGCACGTGTCCAGAGGTGTCAGCACGCCGTATCTCACACACTCCGGGACAGTGAAGGCGAGGGCAGCATTGCGCTCGATGCACACCGAGCGGCCCGCCTTGATGGGCTTGGAGCAGTCAAGGCCGGGGTTGAGAGCGGCAAGGTCCGCTGAGGTTAGGTTGAGCTGCTTGGTAATTGATGAACAGGTGTCACTCTGGAGGATTGAACACAGGCAGGAGCACACAATTGTGTAACACGATGTGCTGAGTCGACAAGACGAGCTGGTTGAGTGCATGGTGTGATGCACACACGAGGGCACCATATCTTACATTGAGGGTGTAGAAAAAGGCAGTGCAGGGTGTGGCCAGAATGCCATCCAATTGAAGGACAGTAGCCTTGGGCAATGGCTGGCTGCAATCAACGGCCTGCATGGAGAAGTGAGTGCATGAAGGAAAGAGATCAAACTGCTGCCTACAAACCGTTGATATAAGAGGGGAGACGGGCATGCATATTCCACACATGGCACATAATGATGGTGCCCAATGGGGGCTATGCAACACTGGGCATCCAACTGTGCATAAATAAAGTACTTTCCTATCCTTCCCCGTCTTCCTTCATCCCGTTCTTACCTCGTTTTGAATTGTCAACTGATTCAAAGAGAGACCAACAAGTTGACAACATCCAAACACCACCAGTTGTCTCCGCTGACTGTAATGGTGGTGGCTGTGGTGTTGGCTGAAGACATGACGACCATGGAGACATCAAGAAAAAAAAGAGGAAAGAAAACCTTGGGCGAGAGGAGATGCAAGGGTGGGCACATGCTGGAAAGACAATTATGCGTGGAAGCTTTGGACACGGATGCAATGACTTGGTCTGGCCCACCAACTCTGAAATCGGACACAGTGATATGCTTCGATAGATTTAACTGGCCGGTTGGGCTGCGCGAGTCAAGAAATAGCCCGTGCCCACTCGTGCCACTGAGCTGGATGACTAACTCTTGCCTATCAGATACATAGATACATACATTATATTGGCAATCTATGTACTCACTCTTGACAATGGGGTAGATGCCAGGCAGCACGTTGATGCCACACACACCATCTCCTCCCTGAATGTCCATGCACATGTGGCCCCTGTTGCCCCAATCCTCTCCCCACAAGTTGCGGATTATCCAAAATGGGGGAAGAATGCGACTTTTCCTGCCGTCGTTCCTATAGATGAAGAACCCAATGACGAGGACAACATCGTTCAGATTGCCAGTGTAGCAGCCAGGATCTGGGCATTTGAAAGTCTGCAGCAAGGTGGAAAGAGAGACTCAAAACAAAGTAAGAAATCTCTCAACATCGCGACAAGACGTTGATAAAATGTGGCTGTAACTGTACAAAATGCTGGCAGCAACTGTTTGTTGAGGAACGATGTGTGAATGCACGCGGGCCATGCTAACTGAGTGCTGCAAATGACTCACCCCATCATAGCTGGCGAACGTGTCAGCAGAAGCCTCAATGTGTCAGCAGGGTAGCATGACTCACAATCTTATCGTAGCATGACTCACAAGCCTAGGAAAGCATGACTCACAATCCTTGGGTAGCATGACTCATAATCATAGGGTAGCATGACTCACAATCCAATGGTAGCCTGACTCACAATCACAGGGTAGCATGACTCGCAATCATAGGGTAGCATGTCTCCCAATCCTAGGGTAGCATGACGTACAATCATAGGCCAGCATAACTCACAACCCAAGGATAGCATGACTCACATTCCTAGGGTAGCATGACACAAAATTATAGGGTAGCATGTCTAATAAATCTAGGGTAGCATGATTCACAATCCTAGAGTAGCATGTCTCACAATCTTAGGGTAGCATGAATGACAAACCTCGTGTAGAAATACTGACAATCCTAGGGTAGCATTACTCACAATCAAAGGGTAGCATGACTCACAATCCTAGGGTACTATGAAACAATCATAGGGTAGCATGTCTCACACTCCTAGGGTATTTTGACTCACAATCATAGGGTAGCATGCCTCACAATCATAGAGTAGCATGCCTCACAATCCTAGGGCAGCATGAATCACAATACTAGGGTAGCATCGCTCACAATCCCAGGGCAGCATGACTCACAATCGTAGGGTAGTATAACTCACAATCATAGGGTAGCATAACTCACAGTCCTAGGGGAGCATGACTCACATTCATAGGGTAGCATGTCTCACAATCCTAGGGCAGCATGAATAACTATCCAAATGTAGCATGACTCACAATCCTAGGGTTGCATGACTCACAATCATAGCGTAGCATGCCTCACATCTCTAGGGTAGTATGACCTACAATCATAGGATAGCATGACTGACAATCCTAGGGTAGCATGACTCACAATCATAGCGTAGCATGACTCACAATCCTAGGGTAGCATGTCTCACAATCCTTGGGTAGCATTACTCACAGTCCGAGGGTACCATGTCTCACAATCCTAGGGTAGCATGACTCACAATCACAGGGTATCATGACTCACAATCATAGGGTAGCATGTCTCACAATCGTAGGATAGCATGACTAATAATCCTAGGGTAGTATGACTCACAATCCTAGGGTAGCATGACTCACAATCTGAGGGTAGCATGACTCACAGTCCTAGGGTAGCATGACTCACAGTCCTTGGGTAGCATGTCTCAAAATCCCAGGGCAGCATGACTCACAATCCTAGTGTAGCATGACTCACACTCCTAGGGTAGCATGACTGACAATAATAGCGTAGCATTACTCACAACCCTAGGGTAGTATGACTCACAATCATAGGGTAGTATGACTCACAATCCGAGGGAAGCATGACTCACAATCCTAGGGTAGCATGACTCACAATCATAGGGTAGCATGAATCATGATCGTAGGGTAGCATGACTAACAATCATCGGGAAGCATGAATCACAATCATAGGGTAGCATGACTCACGATCCTAGGGTAGCATGACTCACAATCATTGGGGAGCATGTCTCACAATCCTAGGGTAGCATGACTCACAATCCTAGGGTAGTATGACTCACAATCATAGGGTCGCATGACTCACGGTCCTAGGATAGCATGACTCACAATCAGAGGGTAGCGTGTCTCACAGTCCTAGGGCAGCATGACTCACAATCCTAGGGTAGCCCGGCTCACAATCCAATGGTAGCATGCCTCACAATTCTAGGCAGCATGACTCACAATCATACCCTAGCATGATTCACAATCCTAGGGTAGTATGACTCACAATCCTAGGGCAGCATGAATCACGTTCATAGGGTAGCATGTCTCGCAATCCTAGGGCAGCACAAAACACTATCCTAGTGTAGAATGACTCACTATCCTAGGGTAGCATGACTCACAATCCTAGGATAGCATGACTCACTATCATAGCGTAGCATGACTCACCATTCGAGCGTTGTATGACTCACAATCATAGGGAAGCATGACTCACAAGTCTAGCGTAGCATGACTCACAATACTTGGGAAGCATGACTCACATCCCAATGGTAGCATGACTCACAATCACAGGGTAGCATGAATCGCAATCATAGGGTAGCATGTCTCCCATTCCGAGTGTAGCAGGACTTACAATCTTAGTCCAACATGACTCACAACCCAAGGATAGCATGACTCACATTCCTAGGGTAGCATGACTCACAATCATATGGTAGCATGTCGCATAGTTTTAGGGTAGCATGACTCACAATTCTAGGGTAGCATGTCTCACAATCCTAGGGTAATTTGACTCACAATCATAGGGTAGCATGACTCATGGTCCTAGGGTAGCATGACTCACAACCATAGGGTAGCATGTCTCACAATCCTAGGGCAGCATGACTCACAATCCTAGGGTAGCATGACTCAAAATCCTAGGGAAGCATGGCTCACAATCCTAGGGTAGCATGATTTACAATGCGAGGGTAGCGTGAATCACAATCATATGGTAGCATGACTCACAATCATAGGGTAGCATGATTCACATTCACAGGGAAGCATGTCTCACAAACCTAGGGCAGCATGAATCACTATCGTATGGTAGCATGAATCACAATCATAGCGTAGAATGACTCACAATCCTATAGTAGCATGTCTCACAATCCTTGGATAGCATGAATAAATAATCCTAGGGTAGCTTGACTCACAATCATAGGGTAGCATGTCTCATAATCCTTGGCGGCATGACTCACAATCCTAGGCTAGCACGACTCACAATCCTACGGTAGCATGACTCACAGTCCGAGGGTACCATGTCTCACAATCCTAGGGTATCATGACTCATCATCACAGGGTAGCATGTCTCACACTCCTAGGGTAGCATGACTCACAATCATAGGGTAGCATGTCTCACAATTCCAGGGCAGCATGACTCACAATCCTAGGGTAGTATGAATCAGAATCATAGCGTAGAATTACTCACAATCCTGGGGTAGTATCACTAACAATCATAAGGTAGCATGACTATTAATCCTAGGGTAGCATGACTTACAATCCTAGGATAGCATGACTCACAATTATAACTTAGCATGACTCACAATCCTAGGGTAGTATGAGTCACAATCATAGGTTAGAATGACTCACAATCTTTGGGTAGCTTGAGTCACAATCATAGGGTAGCATGACTAACAATCATAGGGTAGCGTGACTCACAATCCGAGGGTAGCATGACTCAAAATCCTAGGGTAGCATGACTCACAACCATAGGGTAGCATGAATCACAACCATAGGGTAGCATGACTCATAATCATAGGGTAGCATGACTCACAATCCAAGGGTAGCATGACTCACAATCCTAGCGTAGCATATGTATTAGGATTAAGGAGGGAGCCTAGGTGACCTTACGAGCTAGAAGTACTCAAAATATACTTCCGAAACTTCAGACAGAAAAGTCGTCTCCACAAGAAACGTCGTCGACGAAAATCTAGCCGTTGGACTGTCATGAAGCTTGAATATATTGTAGCTCTTAATCTCAGCTACGGTTCCCTATTCGAATAACCTTGTTGGATGGAGTATTCAAGACGGAATGACTTTTGACCCACTGGGGGGTATGCTGTATGAGAAGAACTTTATCTCAATCTCAAACTGTAATCAAGGTTCAACGATCTAACAAGGAATTAGAGGAGCAAGGGAAAGGTTGGGAATGGAAGAGAGGGATGAGAGGGAAGGTCCCAAGAGAGTCTCCAACCAAGGAATCCCCATAAGCACAAAGATTCCCTCCCTATAGGAACCCCAACTTTGACATTTGTTCCTTCTCAACCAATCCATCCAAGTTGGCTTCCCTTGCCAACCTAGCTTGGTTGTTCCCAACCAATTTGCAACTGCTACAGTAGAGTGACGAATTTCCCCAACCTCTAATGGTCCCAACTCCATATAGATTCACCCCACAACTTCACTTTGTAACCGCCGCAATTGTAACGCAAGCTCATGAACTTTGAATCTTCATAGCTTTCGCGTTCTTGCTCCGATTGAAGAGATTCTCGTTGCGTCGGAAAGATCTTCTCAAGATCTATCATAAAAAATACTTGCTCAAACAAAAAAAACAAAACACATTCCCAAACTCCAGAACACACAACACATAAATGCTTGCACACATTCAAACCACACATGCAAGTGGAAAACAGAGATGGGAGGCAGACAGAATGTGATAGCATATGATGACATCACACAACATCTCCCCCTCTGGTTGCCAACCATCATCCACCATACCACATCTCAAGCATGCATACTTAATACACACTCATCCCAACAAGCTTCATGCCCTTCCAATAATCCGCCTCCGCCAAACGCTTGGTGGAAATATCTGCTGCCTGCTGATGGGTCTTCACTATCTCCAGCGCACCTCCTTATCAAGGAGTCTCCTCACCCATGCCACTTAGGCCTTATGTTTTTGTCAGCCCATGCAGACAAGCATTCTTGGCCGAGCTGCACAGCGACTCATTGTCACAAAACACAACTGTCGGCTCCTCCTGACCAACTCCCAACTCCTCCAACAACGCCTTAGCCACACCACTTCCTTGGCCCCATGGTGTAAGGCCATGTACTCAGTCTCACATGAGGACAATCCCACCTCATTCTGCTTCTTGCTGCGCCAGCTCACAGCACCACCTCAGCAAGCACACATAACCCCAATGCAACGCATCCGCTTTACTGAGTTGAAGCTAGCGTCATACCTTGGGTTGAGGAATTGCAGCCCAATAGCATAATGCAATCTCATCCTCCTCAATCTGCTCAACACACTCCCAGCTGCACCACATTGGCTTGCCTCTTCCCCCTATAGGTCAGCCTCACAGGAGGCGCACATCCCTCCTAGGTCGCTCAGGCGGTGTGGAACTCGAGTTGGGGACTCATGCTGCTGCTGCTGCTGCTGCTCCACCTCAAGCTGCTCCCCCTTCCTCAGTCACCCCAGACATCTCCTCCTCAGACACTGCAACCTCCACCTGTCTTGAAGGCCGCTGCACCTCATCTGCCTCCACAATGAGCGGTGTAGATGGAAGCTTCTGTGCTGCTGCTTCCATTCCTTGTAGTACAGGACTCAAGAAACTTCACATCCCTTGACACTGTCAACTTCTGGGTGGTCAAGTCCCATAGCAGCCACCCTTGTGATCCTTTGCAATCCCAAGTGCACACCCCATCTTCCAGAAGCCTCCAACTTCCCCTTTTCTCCTTAGGCACATGAAAACCACCATGCACCCAAATCCTCAGCATGTTCACAGCTGGAGCACTCCCATACCACTTGACATATGGGATCCACTCCTTATCCCCAACTGTAGCCAGCACCTGTTCTTCACAAGGGCGACCTGCCTCAGTGCAGACACCCAAAACGGATCAGGCAGCCCTGCACGCCAAGGAGAGTGCGTGCCCCTCCTGCAGGGTCCTGTTGAACCTCTCAGACACGCCATTCTGCTGCGGTTGTAGGGCACTGTCAGTTGATGTTGGATCCCCTTCCTCTTCAACTCCCCTCAAAATCAGCTCCAATGAACTCCCCACCATTGTCACTGCGGATCACCTTCACCTTGTGTCCGCATTCCCTCTGAGCTCTAGGCATCCACTCCTTAAGGACAGCCGCTGCCACCTCCCTCTTGCTCTTCAAAGGTAAACCCACACTGCCGAGTGTGGTCATCTACAATTGTCAAGAAATAGCGCTGCCTGAGAGGGAAGGGGCTCTTGTGGGCCCCACCACATCCATGTGCACAAGTGCAAGTGGGGTCTTGGCTGGTCCTGTAGTGCTGTTGAAGGGGAACTTGGAGAACTTGGTCTCCAAGCATGTAGGGCAGCTCCAATCTCCTTCACTCCCCCTTTCACCTCCAAGCCTTTCAGGCTCCCATCCTTCACCAACTTCTGCAGCATAGGGAAGTTCACATGACACAGCCTCTCATGCCATGTCTCCCAATCAGCCTCTCCACTCTTTGATGAAGCCTTAGCCCATGCCGCACTCGCATCCACACCAGCAAGCACCTCACCATGTGTCTGCTGCTGCTGCACTTTCTTGACTGCTTCGAGGACCCCATCAGTTGGTGCAGTTGCATCTCCTCCTGCTGTTGCCTTTGCCGCTGCTGCCGTTGCTGCTGTTGGAGTCTTCCCATTCCATGGGATGATGGGCAGCTGCCATAGGTCCTTGATGCAGCTGGTCTCCTCTTCCAGACTCCACAGCACCTTCTTCCCAAGCTTAGCACGGCAGCTGGTTGGTCCAAAGGTCACTTCGGCCTTGCTCTTCTGCAGTCGTCGCACAGAGAGAAGGTTAGCAGACAAGCCTTCAACCAGCAGAACATTCCCAAGCCCCACAAGCTTCCCATTAGCTCCCTTAACCTTGGCATTTCCCAACACCAATGACAGGGAGCAAAGCACCTGACGCTGCTGCCACATACTTGATCTTCCAGGGGGTTTTACCTCATCAAGCAAATCTGCCCGTGGGGTCATGTGACTGGTGCAACCTGAATCAATCACCCAGTGTGTGAGAGGGTGCATCACAACCTTTCCCACAGTCCCACATCACCCTCATGCCCATGCACATCCTCAACCATAAAAACAAACCAGGATAGGCATTACCTTGTGCACCTTCACCTTGTGCACCTGAGCCTTGCACAGCGCCACCTTGTGCGCGTTCACCACTGGCGGCTTCATGCCTGGAGGTGCCCATCCCTCCGGCCTGCTGAAGCACTTGAACCAAGGATGCCCGACCTTCTTGCAGTACCAGCAGGTGCCCTCCATTCTGGTACTCCCCCTGCCACTAGAGCTCCCATGCCCCTCATTATAGTCACCTCGGCCTCTACCTCTGCCAAAGCTCCTCCCACGGCCTCGGCCTCTCCAACCCCCTCTTCCTCTGCCGCGCCCTGCAGCTCCATACCCTCAGCAGTCTTAGTGGCAGCACCGCCTCCCACATGGCGTCTGCGGAAGTCCTCCTGCAGAATCTGCTGCCTTAGCCACTCAGGTGTCCATTGATCTTGCTGAGAGTTGAGGGTGGGGATGAGGTTATCCCACGAGTTGTCCAACACCGAGATGATCTTGGTGCACTGCTGCAGCTGAGATACACTGCTGCCCGCTGCTGCCATCCTTGCATAGGTGTCCTTGATCTTGTCAAGGACCGGCTTCACATCGTCCCCTGGTCGCATGGAAATGGCAGCAAGTTCCTTCTCGAGCACGATCACCATTGGGAGACTGTTGGGCTGAATCACATCGCGTAGTAGTTTCCACGCCCTTGGACCCGAATCATCCGCTTCCACAAAATCCTTGATGTGCTCGAACATCTCCTTGTTGACCGATTGAAGGATGAGGTCGAAAAGCACCGTGCTTTTCTCAATCCACCGTTCGCGTTCTTCGCCTTCCTCCGGCATCTTCTCCTCCCCAACAGCAATCTTCAGTAGCTTGTAGCGTTTGAAGGCACTCCTCATCCGTCCGCTCCATTCCTCATAGTTGGAGCCATCCAAAGCTTCAACTTTTGATGGCGGCGGCTCACTTGTCTTCTCAGGTACAGCTCCTCTTCCATTAGCATCTCCTCCTCTCTCATTCATCTTCTCCTTGAGAAATGACGAATTTCAGCTCCCCCTTTGCTGTCCAGACTCAGCTCCCTCGATATTTTCACAAGTGTCGGCGTCCACGAAATTTCGGCAGAGTTTCCCCTTAGCGGAAGTCACATCCAACCTTTAGAACACCACTTAGGCACGCCCACAGGCCATGGTGGGTCTAGAAGGGTCTTCACACTTCTGTAGACTCCTCTCAATATCCTTAATATTGCTCTGATACCACTTGTTAGGATTAAGGACGGAGTCTAGGTGAACTTAGGAGCTAGAATTACTCAAAATATAAATCCGAAATTCTGGACAGAAAAGTCGTCTTCACAAGAAACGACGTCGACGAAAAAATAGCCGTTGGAATGTCGCGAAACTTGGATATGTTGTATTTCTTAATCTCAGCTACCGTTCCCAATTTGAATCATGTTGATTGATGAAGTATTCGCGACGCTATGGCTTTCGACGCACTAGGGGGTAAGCTGTAGGAGGAGAACTTAACTCAATCTCAAGAGTTCAATCAAAGTTCAAGAATCTCACAAGGAATTAGAGGAGCAAGAGAAAGGTTGGGATAGAAAGAGAGGGACGAGAGGGAAGGTCCCAAGAGAGTCCCCAACCAAGGGAACCCCATAAGCACAAAGATTCCCTCCCTATAGGAACCCCAACTTTGACATTTGTCCCTTCCCAACCAATCCATCCAAGTTGGCCACCCTTGCCAACCTAGCTTGGTTGTTCCCAACCAATTTGCAGCTGTTACAGTAGAGTGACAAATTTCCCCAACCCCAAAGGTCCCAACTCCATTGTGAGTCACCCCACAACTTCACTTTGTAACCGCCGCAATTGTAACGCAAGCTCAAGAACTTTGAATCTTCATAGCTTTCGCGTTCTTGCTCCGATTGAAGGGATTCTCGTTGCGTCGGAAAGATCTTCTCAAGATCTATCATCACAAATACCTGCTCAAACAAAAATAACACAAAACACATTCCCAAACTCCAGAACACATCACACACAAATTCTTGCACACATTCAAGCCACACATGCAAGTTGAAAACAAGAGATGAGAGGCAGACAGAATGTGATAGCATATGATGACATCACACAACACTCTACTGAGCGTGATGTTTTCTCTGCTGCTGCACTTGCCTGTGCAATCTAGGACTCTCGCGATGCAGTTGCTCAGGTCGCTATTAGTCACGCCTTCCCTGTGCCTGAGCGTTCGCATTTCGCTACAGTTGATACAGCCAAGGCCTACCTAGATGCTGTAGTTGCTCGCTATTCCACGCTTGCCTCCGTTACTACAGGCCGCCTGCTCTTTCCTATGCTTTCCCGAGACCTTGCTTCCTTCCCTACTGTTGCTGATCTTGCCACTCACCTGCACGCCCTCGAGTCTCACTACCGCACTGCTAGCACTGCTGCCCAGCTCACTGCGCTCCCTCCCCCCTTCTGCATGACCCTCTACTTTATCGCTATGCGCCTGCCTAACCGCCTTGCTAGTGCCCGCGACCACAACCTTAGCCAGCACCCCGGTGACCTCACCCTGCCAGCCTTTTTCACCGCCCTGACCGAGATCGAGACTCGCCAGCACACTATCGTTCAGTCGAGCGGTGCACTGGCGGTCTCTATCTTTCACGGCTGTGCCCCCTCCCAGTGCACGTTCACTGACGTTTCGGCTGCGGTCGCCACTATGACCCCTCTGACCGAGACTGCCTCTGCCGTGCACTCGCAGCAGCGCCCACACCGCGCCGGTCGTGGCCGCTAGGGAGGGCGTAGTGGTGGAGCTAGTGGTAGTGGTGGTGGTGCTGTGGACAGTGGTTCTACTGAGGGGACTGCCGCAGCTAGTCCGGAACAGCAGCGGTCGCCCCAGCAGCAGGAGCAGCCGCAGCGGCCGTCGCAGCAGTCGCAGTCGTCGCAGCAGCCGTGGGCTCGTCTCCCTTCGGGTTGGCCCGGCACCTCCGTCGGTGGTGGCCGTGGTGGCAGCCCGCGCAGCTTGGCATCCTGGAGGCAGCTCCGGTGGTGTGACCTGCCAGTACCAGCTTCAGACCGGGCCTCTCTGCGGCACTCAGTGCCGCTGCCCGCACTCGACCGCCCGCTCTTTCCGCCGCCTTGACGATCTCTTTTGTCGTCGCTTTGGCCCGGCCCCGGACCTCCCCGACTGGCACAGCCTGCTTTGCCAGGGCGTGCCGATCTTTGAGTTAGATATGGATCAGATAGGTGCTGCTTTGCATGCCTTGTATGCTGACGCTTCTAGTGTTGCTGGATCTCATTACCCTGTGTACTCTAGTTTAGGCGTAGCACCCTTGTGTAGCTTAGCCTCCCCTGCTGCGTCAGGCGTAGGACTGCCTCGTTTGCCTAGCCCAGTTCCTGCACCGACTTCATTCCCGGCCTCCGCTACTGCCTCACTGTCCTTCACTCTCGACTCCGGTGCTTCTGCCTGTTTCTTCCACGACAGCTCCACACTCACGCCGCTTGCTGCGCCTGCTGTTGTCGCTCTCGCTGACCCCTCGACGGGACCTGTCGTCGCTCGTAGCTCCACTTCCCTTCCCTGTCCAGCCGTTCCCTCGGGCTCTCTTACAGGCCTCCACGTTCCCTCGTTCTCGAGGAACCTGGTTGGTGTCGGGCGTCTTCAGGACCTCGGCGTCACCACTACGTTCCCTGGGCACGAGCGGTTCGCTGTCTGTACCGAGGCTGTCTCAGGTTCCCCCCTTGCGACGTTCCCCAGGGACTCCGTGTCCGGGCTCTTTACCCTTGACACCGCTTCCCCCCCGGTTGGTGCGTCCTCCCAGGTCGCTGCAGCTTGCTCGTGTCGGTCCCTCACACACCCGTCCCTTCTGTTGCACCATCGCTTAGGTCACCCTGCTCTCCCGCGCCTGCGTTATATGTCTCAGCACGGTCTTGTCTTAGGCCTCCCCGAGTCGCTCCCCGCACTTCCCCCCTAATCTGCGCCACCGTGCGCACCTTGCGTAGAGGGCCGGCTCTGCCATGCCCCTCACTCCTCCTCGCTTCGCCCTGCTACTGCTCCCCTTCAGACCCTGCACCTGGACGTTTGGGGCCCTGCCCCCGTCCCCGGACCGCGTGGTGAGCACTACTTCCTTGTGCTCGTCGACGACTACACGCGCTACACCACGGTGTTTCCCCTGGAGCGGAAGGCCGACGTGCCCGACGTTCTTCTCCCGTGGGTTGTAGCTGCGCGTCTTCACCGCGGTCTCCCTGTGCTGTGTCTCCACTCCGACCGTGGCGGCGAGTTCGCCTCTGGTCGGCTTGGACAGTTCTGTTGTGCGGAGGGCATCACCTAGTCGTACACCTTGCCGGACTCGCCACAGCAGAATGGGTTTGCTGAGCGCCGCATCGGCTTGGTCATGGAGGTTGCTCGTACCTCCATGATTCACGCCGATGCCCCCCATTTTTTGTGGCCGTTCGCTGTTCGCTACGCTGCTCCCAGCGGCCGCAGGTTTCGCCGACCCTCCTTTGGACGGGGTCCCCCGGTGACACGTGTGCATTCCATGTCTGGGGCTGCCTTGCTCACGTTCGTGCCTCCGGCACGGAAAAGCTCACTGCCCGCACTGTCCCCTGTGTCTTCCTCGGTTTCCCCCTGGACTCGTCCGACTGGCTCTTCTACCACCCGCAGTCTCACTGCTTCCTTCACTCTCGTAACGTCACCTTTGACGAGTCTGTCTCCTTCTTTCGTCGCTTCCCTCACCAAGGTCTCCTGGTTTCCCCCCCCCTGTTCCTTGCTCCCTCTCCCCCGGTAGCCCCTGCTCCCCTCCCACCTCGTCCTGCCCCGTCTGGTGTCTCCCATGTCACTCCCCTCCCGTCGGTTGTCCAAGTTGAGGAGTTTGCTGACTCAGGTGGTCCCCTCGGCCCGTGTGTGCCGCCCCCCCTCCCCCCCCTGTGTCCCCCCCTCCACTGTCGTAGTCGCAGTCGCCGTCGCTGTCGCCGCTGTCGTCGCCGCCACCGCCGCCGCCGCCGCCACCGCCGGCTCAGCCGCCGCCGCTGCCACTACCGCCGCCGCCGATACCACTCTTGGCCTCTGGGGGTGCTGGCGTTGAGGAGGGTGCTCGTCATACGGCCCCTAGCGTGGTCGGCTCCGGAGAGCTTGGGGGTGCTGCTGGTGCTGGAGGGAGTTCTCTCTCTCGGGGTGTTGGTTCTGGGGGTGCTGTCCTTGAGTGTTCTCCCGGCAGTCGTCGTGCCCCTGCCGGTCCGCGGGTCGAGACCCAGCCGTCGCAGCAGCCGCCCCAGCCGTCGGTGCGGGTCTCCGCTCTTCGCCTGCTCGGCCTTCCCTCCCTTGACAGCTCGCCGGTGTCTCCCCCACCGCCTTCTCCTCTTCCTGTCTACGGCCCTGTGTTCCCGCCCCCGGACTCTTCTCCGGCCCGTCTTCCTCCTCGTTCCCCTTTCGTGTCCCCTCCGCTGTCTCCTGACCCTACACCTCCGTCCCACGTTTGGTCTCGCCGTCCCTCCCGTGCTCGTCCCGTCTCTCCTGTCCTGCGCTCCCACCCTACGTTGCTCCGTTCCCACTCGTCTCGTCCTCCCCTCCTCCCCTTGCCTCCTCTCCCGTCGCTTATTGTTGCACCTCCCCCGCTGTCTGACTACCTTCGTGCCTCTCGTCCCCTTGTCCCTCGGGTCCTTTCCTCTCTTGTTACAGATCCGTCTGTTCCTGTCTCGCGCCTTGTCGCGCTTGTCGCTGCTGTCGCTGACTTCGCCTCTACCCGCCGCCTTGACTACGCTACCGCTCTGGTCTCCGACCCTGCCCGTCCTCCGTCCGTCCGGGGTGCACCTGCCCTTAGCAATGACGTCCTGGAGGACCGCCAGTACGAGCTTGCTTTCCTTTCCGAGGCCGCTCCCCATCTCTGCTCCATGCTCCTAGTCCCATAGGGTGACCCAGACGCCTTCGACATCCCGACCCCTTGCACCTACGCTGAGGCCACCTCGGGACGCACTGGCCTTTGTGAAGGCCGAGCTGCTGAAGAGACACACCTGCACTGACCTTGGAGAGCTGCGTCGCTGTCTTGGCCTGCAGATCTCTAGGGACAGAGCAGCACGCACCATCACTCTGACACAGTCACACTTGGTGCGTCAGGTCCTTCAGAGGTTCGGTCTTCAGTTCTCCTCCGCACAGCCCACACCTCTACCTGTAGACCATGGGCTCTCTGCTCCCGTTCCTGGGGAGCCAGTAGAGCCCAGCGGCCCCGACGCAGAGCTGGTGGGCTGCCTTATGTACCTGATGACTTGCACTCGCCCAGATCTCGCATACCCTCTCAGCATCCTGGCTCGCTTTGTGGCCACCGGCAGACACCGACCACAGCACTAGTCGGCCGCTAAGAGGGTTTTACGATATCTAGCAAGTACATCGGGCATGGGGTTAGTGCTTGGAGGACGCATTCCAGTGGTCCTTACTGGACACACAGATGCTTCTTGCGCAGATGATGCTGAGACTCTCAGGTCGTCGCAGGGCTACTGTTTTAGCCTTGGTTCGGGTGCAATCTCCTCGAGATCCACTCGCTCGTCATCTGTTGCCCAGTCCAGCTGTGAGGCTGAGATCTACGCCGGTGCCATGGCGGCACTGGAGCTCCGTTGGCTGACCTTCTTGCTCACAGACTTAGGTGAGCGGCCTAGCTCTGCCCCGGTCCTGTACGCTGACAACAGGGCCATGATTCTCCTGTGTCAGGAGCCTCGACTTGAGGGCAGAGCAAAGCATATCCAGCTGCGGTACTTCCTCCTGCACGAGCTGCAGCAGCGTCGCCAGGCCCGTGTAGTTCACTTGGCCTCCGGTGCCAACACTGCTGATATCTTTACCAAGGCGCTTGCGCCTAAAGATTATCAGCGGCACTGTGTACAGCTTGGTCTTGTTCCTGTAGCTTCTCACTTGTTAGGACCCTGACTGTGTACTCTCTACTATATATACTTGTCTGACTGGCCTTATGGCCTTACCTCCAATGGCTGGACTAGTAGTGCCGCCCTGGCTTGCTTTAGTCTTGTTTGTACTCTTGCTGACTGGTCTCCAGACCCCTGCCTCAGTGGTTGGACCAGTAGTGCCACCCTGAGCTGTATGCCTCTTGTTTAACACCACCCCTTCTCTA